CGATGGAAAACAAGATCCGGATGTGATGGCGGCTAATGCGACATCTGCTGCTCTTATGTTGTCGGACATTCCCTGGGGTGGTCCCATTGGGATGATACGTATTGGAAGGATCTCTGGACAGTTCATTGTTAATCCGACTATGGACGAGGTGTGCTTAATGTATTTACTTACGAGTGTAATAAAATTATGCTGAATTTGACAATGGTAGTTGGTATAACCTAACAGATAACTGCCTTCAGCAAATTCTGAAGCCTGAAAGATTGCTGTTTTAACATCTATATTTATGTTCATGTAAATGGGTTTCCTTTTTTTTTTTTTTTTTTTTTTTCGCTTTAACATCTAATTGTTGTTTATTTGATATGTGCAGCTTTGCTTTAGTGATCTTAACTTAGTCTATGCCTGTACAAAGGACAAGACGTTAATGATGGATGTGCAAGCTCGCGGGATATCGGAGAAAGATCTAGAAGCTGGATTAAGATTGGCTCATCCTGAGGTGAGTCATGAAACAATTAGCTATCTTGCATAGCCGTTTTATATTGATAGAATTGTTCTAAGATGCTGGACTGTGACTATCTGACCATACAGGCGGTTAAGTATCTTGAACCGCAAATCAGATTGGCTGCTAAAGCGGGTAAAGGTAAGAAGGATTATAAATTATCAATGTTGTCAGATAGAACATTGGAGAGAGTCCGCGAGTTGGCAGAAGCTCCTATAGAAGCTGTGTTTTCGGACCCTACATATGGCAAGGTGCATACTATCTATAGTTTAAACTAGAGAAGTCTGATTTTGGATAAACATTTTGGAGCTTATGTGCCTGCATAAGGAAATAGGTGACAAGTTTTGCTTGTAATATATATTATATAGTTTAACCTTTATTTTGCTGTATATTTCATCTAGTTTGAGCGTGGGGGGGCTTTGGATAACATTACACAAGATGTTAAGAAAGTTCTTGAAGAAGAATGCGATGGAGAAAGCTTAAATGTTTTATCAAAGACAGTTGACACAGTGAGGAAACAGGTAGGCTGAGCCAAAAATGAGAATCTAGGAGCCTCACTCTCTTGCTCTCTCTCTTTCATTATGATTATTTATGATTCCTTTGTCTTTGTACTCCTGAGGTATGTTATCTTTATCTTTGTATTTAGTGAAGTAGTATGCCAAAACGTCTCATTAGTTAATGTTATTGGGGTCTTCTATTTCAAAGTGACAGTACAGCTATGTAGCTTATGTGTATGTGTATATTTTGGTAAGAGTACAACTATGAGCAACGTATGTTGGTGGTGTTGGATTCTTATATATCTTGCCTTGGGAGCTAGTTCTGCTGGTATGGAATTTGGAAATGTATGAAAAGTTATATCATATCAAATTCACCTGGAATGTTTATGGAGTAAAAGTAAGACATTGCTCTTGAAAAGGTAGTCACATCTCGTAGGAGCTACCAACCTACTTTTGTAACGACCTGCACCCCTACCTGGTATGATATTGTCCGCTTTGGGCTTCTGGCCGCACAGTTTTGCTTTTGGGCTTCACCCCAAAAGGCCTCATACCATTGGGAGGTGGTGTCATTCCTTATAAACCAGGACCCATCTTCATCCTCAGGCGATGTGGGACTGCACATCTTATCCTTTCTTGGCCTTGTACCTCAAGGGATTGATGGTTGTCACAACTTTACTCTTAGTTGTATCTCTTGTCTCAGGTTGTTCGGAGAAGGATCATTTCTGAAGGATTAAGAGTTGATGGGAGACGGCTTGATGAAGTTAGGCCTTTGTATTGTGAAGCTGGTAATTTGCCACAGTTGCATGGATCATCACTTTTTTCTCGTGGAGATACTCAGGTTAGCATTCTTTTAGACACTGGGAGTAAATTTTTTTTTTTTTTTTATTTACCCCTGGCATAAGTTCATACGTATATGATGTTTGATAGGTTCTTTGCACCGTTACACTCGGTTCTCCTGCTGATGCTCAACGCTTGGATTCAATTGTTGGTTCTTCATCAAAGCGTTTCATGCTTCATTATAGCTTTCCCCCGTTCTGCATCAATGAAGTTGGTAAACGAGGTGGCTTGAACAGGCGTGAAGTTGGGCATGGTAATCATTCATCCTTGTGTTACATTTGGATTTATGATTCTAGGATAGAGAGTTTTAGACAGGAATTGATTTTAATTTAGAAGTATAAACTTTTCAAGTAAATGAAAAATTCGTGTGAATAAAGAAATTGAATGGGGTGGATGGGAAACGTTTGTTTCACTCCCTTTTCTAAATTACTTGAGTTGTGAAAAGTAACATTCTCATTTTCTTACGAAAAGAATGGGATTCTCTCTCTCTTTCACATCTTTGCAAACAGTTTGATAAGATAACTAAAAAGATTGCAGATACATAGTCCACGTTATGAGGTTACGATATAATTCACTGAATAACTATCATGATACTTGAAAAGATGTAATTTAACGATTACGATAGTTAGAAAAGATGTAGTATATAATCATGGTTGTTTTCTTCTTTGTTAATAGGAACTCTTGCAGAGAAGGCTCTACTTGCAGTTTTACCTCCTGAAGATGATTTCCCATATGTTGTACGTATCAATTCTGAAGTCATGGCTTCTGATGGTTCAACATCAATGGCAACTGTATGTGGAGGTAATCTGTTCACTTTACTTCTGTGATGTCCATTGCTCTGTCTTTCTTGTGCTTGATTCTCGTTATTTTCTTGCAAATTTGAGCCACTTTTTCCTGTTACAATTGTTGGTGTAAAATATCAACTTGGTAGTCGTATGGATAGTTTTCACGTTTGTCTACATCAGGTTTGTTTCATTTTGTGCATTGGTTGTCATAAGCCTCTTCCTTCTATTTTTTTTTTTTTTTTTTTTTTGTTGGAAAGCACATGCGGCTAACTAAAATATGCTTTATTTTATTACTTGTGGTAACATATTAAAGCTAGAGTATTCTTTATGATGTTTAAGTATATTCTCCTGTTCAGGCAGTATGGCTTTGATGGATGCTGGCATTTCACTCCGTGAACACGTGGCTGGTGTATCTGTGGGTCTTGTTAGTGAAGTGGATCCATCAACTGGCAAAATAAAGGACTATCGTATACTGACTGATATTCTGGTGAGATTTTTCGTTTGCCTTATTTGTGAATATCCATCATTTTGGGTTCTGATTTTGTAGTTTCAGCACTCAATGATACGTCCTTTACTTAACTTCAAATTTTCTTTTCTCTTAGTTGTTTAGATACTATATTCAATTGTGTGTAGGGTCTGGAAGATCACCTTGGGGACATGGACTTCAAAATTGCTGGCACCCGGAAAGGAGTCACGGCAATTCAATTGGATATAAAACCAGCCGGCATTCCTTTAGATATTATTTGTGAGTCCTTAGAGCATGCTCGTAAAGGTCGTATTCAGATCCTTGATCAGATGGAGAAGGAGATAAATGCACCACGTGACCAAGATGATAATTCTCCTCAATTAGGTTGACTTTTTAGCTTTTATGTTTCTTCTACTTTTATGTTGTTATAGAGTGATAATATTAAACTTTATTTTTGTGACTGATGGTGCATGCAGCTACCTTGAAGTATAGCAACGACTTGCTTCGACGCTTGGTTGGACCTCTTGGGGCTTTAAAGAGAAAAATTGAAGAGGAAACAGGTTTGATTCAACCATGAACAAAGCTTTGTGCATTCTTTTTCTGATTGTATTATAGGACCGTTGCAGTTGAGAAGAAGGATTGGGGATTTTACCTGGAAAATGCTGTAAATGTATCTCTCGTGATCATTTGAGCATGTTATGATGTTGTTTGGTCTTTAGCTGTGTCATCCGTATTATAGGACCGTCGCAGTTGAGAAGAAGGATTGGGGATTTTACCTGGAAAATGCTGTAAATTCCTGATCATTTGAGCATGTTTGATGTTGTTTGGTCTTCTGTAGCTGTGTCATCCTTTCTTTCCTCCTCTCATCAAGCTACTTATGGTGGAGAACATGCTAACATATGATTTCATTCATATGTTTCTTCAATGCTATTTTGTCTAATACTTGTTTTTAAGACTGTTAGCACCTTGGTAGCTCTGAAAACTCACATTATTACTGATGTTGTATGCTTTCTAGGTGGACGTCTCTCTGTAAGTGATGGAACGCTTAGCATAGTGGCCAAGAATAAGGCCATAATGGAGAAAGTAAAAGAAAAGGTATTTACTTTCTCACTCTAGTTTCGTGTGATTCCGTAGATGGACAAAGCAATAATATGCTTATGTAGCAGTCTCCTGGTTAATAGGCTCTGGTTTTGTTTTCACTAGATAACAAAAGGAAAATTTTGATTTACTGATGGTAGGGGAAACCAAGTTCTCACAGTAGGAAAATTCATTTGTCGTAAGACGCATCCGGAGTTATATTTATGATTCCAATAATTCAAATGCTGCTATGCTTCCTTAGCTTTAAGGATACTTTTGCTTTTTACTGCGTTTGTTAACTCATTCTGCTTCTCAGATTGATTTTTTACTCGGGCGTGAGATTGAAATTGGTGGGGTTTATAAAGGTGTGGTAACTTCAGTCAAGGAATATGGGGCATTCGTGGAGTTCAATGGTGGTCAACAAGGCCTTCTTCACATCTCTGAGTTGTCACATGAGCCGGTATGTAGTAATCATTACTTTAAGAGAGAATTCTTGATCTCCTTGTTTCTCCAATTTATTTGAGAATTTATGTTTCATTTTTAAGTGTTTTAGTTTTTATTATGCTTCTTCTAGTGATTTTTATCGGAATTTGGAATATTGATTTGGCACTTATACTATTCCTTTTGTCAGGTTTCCCGTCCTTCAGAAGTTGTATCTGTAGGCCAGAAAATAACGGCGAAATGCATAGGTCAGGATGTTCGTGGTAACATTAAACTATCCCTTAAAGCAACCATTCCGCAGTCTGGATCCGTGAAAAGGAATGTAGCCAAAGCATCTTTCCCATCTTCGAAAGAAGAGGTTGAGTATTCCGCATCAGAAGAGAATATGTGCAATGCTGGAGAGAAGCAGAATAATATTACAGATACTTTAGATGCATTTTTGGTGAATAAAAATGAAGTTAGTGATGTAAATCCCTCACAGTTCTCTGTACCACCAATTCTAATCCGAAGTGCCGCTGAGTGTGACGAGGAGGAAAAATCTGCTGGTTTGACAGAAAAGTCTAAAACTAAATCTAGATCCCTTGGTGCTTCAGAAGCAGATGGGAAGTCAAAACCGTCGTTGCGAAAGAAAGGAGACAAAAGATTAAATTCTAAATCCAAAAGCAAGGATGGAGAAGAAATTACACAAATTCTCAAATCCGATACGTCCAATAGGAGTAATTTGGATGACTCAGAAGCTGAAACTAGAACTACAATTTCTGCGAAAAGCCTGAAGCTAGGAACTAAGGTCACTGCCAAGGTTTTTCAGGTCCGAACTAATGGATTGATCCTTGATTTAGGTGGAGACATTCGCGGGATGTATCTTTTTGAGGTATATGAGTCAAACTTATTTATGAATGACATAATTTAGGTTTTTATTCTCTTTTTCTTTTTCTGAAGGTTAACAAGTTAACCCCTTTCCACCTATTATCCACTCACTTCAAACTTGATCTTCTAAGTTCTAACTGTCTAAGTTAGATTTCAAGAATGTTGCATTTCTCACCTGTAGAGCGCATATCCAGATTTGTTCTAGTTTAGAGTGATAAATGTTGTCTATTATCAGTAGCTACTTAACTTGCTTATATGTATCTAGTTAATCCAATACAATGGTCCTTTCTTGTTCCTTTACAATTTACTAAACATGGCTGCAAATCTAAGTACAGAAAATCTTCTTCTTAAATATAGGAACTTTCTAATCTTTCCTCAGAGCAATGAGATTCTTTTTAACCGTGTTGCTAAGGGTCCCTGTGTTTTCATGCAGACTAATGGCAGGAGGGACTTCGAGGAAGGGGATGAGTTGCGAGTTCAGTGTACGCGTTTTAATAGAAAAGGGGTTCCGGTGATGTCTTTGGTGGATGACGATTAGGATTGTATCGGCATTCTCTTGCGATGAAAACATTAAAAACCAGGGAATGAATGCCG